TGTGTGTGTGTGTGTGCGTGTGCAGTGTGTGTGGACTGATCCCGGCGCTGAGCAGCGTTCTCCTGCCCCGGATGAACCCGTTCGTGCTGATCAACCTCGCGGGCGCCTTCGCTCTGGGCATCACCTACATGCTCATCGAGATCAGGTGACCTCTGCAGTTTTGATGAACTCGTATAATCGTTTGTATCTCAGTTCCTCCTGACGTGTGCTTGTTGTGCAGTAACTATCACGCCATGGACACCGCGTCCGCCGTGGCCATCGCCCTCATGACCTTCGGCACCATGTACCCGATGAGTGTGTACAGCGGGAAGGTGCTGCTGCAGGTGTGTGTGATGGCGTGTGTGTGTGTACTGACTCCTGTGTGACGCTTCACACACTCACGGCTGTCCTCTCTTCTTTCAGACCACCCCGTCTCACGTCATTGGCCAGCTGGATAAGCTGCTGCGAGAGGTCAGTCCTCCTCCCTCGTTAGAGTTCGTGTGTGTGTGTGTGTGTGTGAGACGTCGTGTGTCCCGCTGTCTTCATCACTGGTTCCTGGTGTTTTTCAGGTGTCCACGCTGGATGGAGTTCTGGAGGTCAGGAACGAGCACTTCTGGACCATCGGCTTCGGCTCCCTGGTGTGTACCGATCTCTCTAACTGATGATGTCATGTGCTGTTAATGAACGCTCGGCCTATGGCTGTTTACACAAGCTAATTTAGCTTTCAGTTATTAGTCTGTTTATTGCTCGTCAGTATCAGGACCCCGTCAGTGTTTCTTTCACTCTTTTATTGATGGACAGTGTTGTGTTGTGGGAGAGATTATTTGCTCCAAGTGAGAATATTAGTGTGAAATTGAACACAGTAGATGACAATGTTGATTTCAATAAAAAACGTTTGCGCAAAGCAAGCCGATCCACTTTTGATGAGCGTTAAAATGAGAAGCTAATGGGAAAAAAAGAAATCAACCGACTTTTAGAATAGATCAAAATGTGTGGTTAATTGCGAGTTAGCTATGGACATTAATGCGATATATATTTTAATTGTTTGACAGCACTAGTTTTTTCTTTTAAAAAATTATCCATGCCTTTAAACAGCTTGAATGTCACTCGACACCCTCGCCTGATTATGAATATGCAAATGAGCCCCGTCTCCACTCACTCAGCTCTGAGCTTCACACGTTGATCTGATTGGTTACATAGTAGTTTGTGACAAAACACCAGCGATTTCAAACCGTGTTTTTGAGACTGTGTGAGGTTAAAATATCCAAAAATTGAGCTACACGTATCAAAAGAATGAGAAGAAATAAGGTTGATGATGTCATTAAAAAATGACAAGTTATTGTGCTGCAGTGATGTCAACCTGAATTAGCATGCTAAATCACTAGCCCCGGCCCAGCAGGTATTACCAGTTTGGGCCATAGGAGGCGGTATGCGGGTGGGCAACATTACCACCAGCCAAACTGCAATACACGAGTAACTCGCACGGCTTGTGGGTGTACTTGAACCTGATGTCAGTCGTGTGGAAAGTACAGCCCACCACTACATTTCAAATGATTGGTCGATATTATGAATGAGGAATACATTTTGGTAAGTTGTAGCATACTGTATCTTTCATCAGTGTTCATGTTTTTTTTACAATTAGCTAGTAGAGATGATCGGTTCACCCACCGGCTTGTATTTGAGACAGGCGTCTGTATGAGACGGCCTTTAGTGTTGAGATGTTGTTCATAGAGTCTCTAATCTCTAAAAATCTCCAAACGCTCCACGTCAAACTGCGCTCTTCCAACTTTTTACTATCGTGTCAATTGATTTGATTGATTTGTCAATTGATTTTTTTTTTGGACACAAGGCACCTTTAAGGTGGTTTAGCACATTAATAGACATTTAAACAACATTAAAAGCTGGACTTTCTGTAACTCGCACTGTTTTTGCACAGGCTGGTTCCGTCCACGTCCGCATCCGCAGAGACGCTGATGAGCAAATGGTTTTGGCTCACGTGACCAACCGTTTGAGCGCGCTAGTCTCCACGCTAACCGTCCAGATCTTCAAGGACGAGTGGATCCGCCCGTCGCTGAGTTCTGGCGCTGGATCGCTCAGTCTCTCGGAGTACGTGTCTTCAACCGTGGTGTCCGAGCTGAACCCGGTCACGTCCACGCCTGCCAAACCCAGCAGCCCTCCTCCCGAGTTCTCCTTCAACACGCCGGGCAGACACGTGCAGCCGCTGGTGTTCCCGGCCCACCAGCACCGGCTCCCGTACGGCACGCTGGGCCAGGGCCTCCAGGGGTCCGGCGTCCGGCTGGGCTTCGGCCTCGGGCCTCAGGGATACAGGACACTGAACATGGCGCCGCACAGATATGGGAGCACTCTTCCCAACACACACACTGACCAAACGAGACCCTGAGCTGCTCACACATCAAAACCCTGAGTATTTATTGTTACGGGACCAATAGCGACGGTTTTATTCACAATGGATGTTTTATCTGTATTGTTTATTTGTATTAAACTGCTATCAGACATCTTACTTTTCCCGGTGTTCTCATTATGAAAGTCCATTCGTTCACGCAAGCTGTGTTTTCATCCAAAGTTGTGAATTTACATTTGTAGGTAAAGCAGTGTTTCCCAAATATTCAAGAGACGAAAATCATCACTTCCTGGGGAAAGTCCTCATGTCTAGGATCACATCTAGGATACGTACAAGGTGCGAAAAAGAGGTGGAAATCTCTTTTTAACAAGATATGTGAAATTAGGGTTTCATTTTATCGATAAAACAATCTTTTCGCACAAAATTAAAGCTGTAATCTTCTCTGATATAGATTTAGGGACATTCCGCATGGCTATGAGTGTGATGTGTATATATTACAGCTTTCATTCTTCAGGTCCATCATTGTAGAGTAGAGTTCTCAGGCAAGGACGAGACGGTTTTAATAACAAAAAGTGTGGTTTAGAGGCTGTTGTCAGCCACAGCCCACGCTATACACACCGGCTCATAAGAGAACCGCACTTGAACCAGCGAGCCGCTCCTCAACTCTATCTCCCAGGTTCCCCTTGACTCTCCCGAGGGTCGGAGCCTTCATATTCAACTTGAACGACGAATCAATCAAATCACAATAAGACATTAACATCAAATGTATCCTTATTTGTAACAGAACGGCATTCTGAACATGATCCACTACCCCCTAACTGAGGTCCTCGACCCTGAGGACACAGTCTCTAAATCTGACTGGGGTTTCTTCTCTCCCTCCTAGGACGCCCTCTAAGGAACATGTGATTTTTGACTTCAGGCCTTTTGACCCCTGTGAATGTTCACCCTGAGGGATGTCGAGCAGCGGTGTCGCCTGCTGGCCACTACTGGCCATATCAGCTGTTCCAATTACCCCCTCTGTGTGAAGAAAGTACTGTGACACCATCGCTAAGGGGCCAGCCTATCAGGATGCGGTACCACTTTACACCCCAGTGGAGGCAACTGCACTCTATACACCACCTTCCCTAGCTTGTCCAATATCGGGCATGGTCCCACCCAGTGGCTGTCCAGCTTAGGGCACCTTCCTCTCTTCCTAACTGGGTTGTATACCCAAACTACCTCTCCGACCCCAAAGTTGCCCCCGCCCCCTGTGCAGGTCGTACGCCCTTTTTCGCCGCACCCCTGAGGTCACCAGCTGCCTCCTGGAGTAGTATATTCGGCTCCAGAAGGAACATGAGGGGCATCAGGGGCCCGCCCAAAGGCCAACTCTGCAGGGGTTCTAATCTCCCTTCCCAACAAGACCAGGGCTGGTGTGCATGAGGTAGAGACTGAATAGCAGAGCGAAATGCCATTAAAACCAGTGCCAGATGGGTGTCCCAATCGTGCTGACGAGTTGATGCCTTAGAAGTACAGTATCATAGTTCAAACGAATATTTGCAAACAGCATTGCAAACTTACGTAGTTGAAAATACAGTCCTATATTGTTGAACCAATGTGGTTCAAAGTAGGTGCGAACATTAATGTGGTGATATGACTTGTTGGTTACTTCTTCTAACGATGCGTCATACTATACAGTTAATCAGCTCAATTGTGTCTCTCAAGCAGTTGAACTGGACTGAGTTTCCTGATAACGTTGTCTCTTAGCGTGCTACGAAGACTCTTAAGGTATAACTTAACTGAAGGTATACCATTTCTAGGGGTGTTCCTCGAACCATGCTTTAGGAAGCCCCTTAAGATATATCTTCTCACGTGCAACGTTAGCCGGTGCTGTCCGTGGCGATGGTGCTGAATTTTTTTGACATCGATGGCTCGAGAATCAATTATTCTCTCGAGCAGGGGCTGCTTCACTGCGTAATGTGATTAAGCGGTGTTCTTTTTAAAAGAAGCAAGTAGTGAAATTTAATTTATTTGGACTCATGGGACATTATAAAAAATTAGAAATTGCAAACTAAATTAAACCCTGGATATTATTATTATGTTATACAGTTATCCCCACACCATAATCCCCCCACACCATAATCCCCCACCACAAACCAATCCCACACCATAACCCGCCTTCACCAAACAATCCCAGACCATAATCCCCTCCACCAAACAACCCCCTATAATCCCCTCCACCAAACAACCCCGCACCGTAATCCCCCTCCACCACAACCATAACCCCCCCTCCAACAAACAACCCCACACCATAATCCCCCTCCACCAAACAACCCCACACCATAATCCCCCTCCACCAAACAACCCACACCATAATCCCCCTCCACCAAACAACCCCACACCATAATCCCCCTCCACCAAACAACCCCACACCATAATCCCCCTCCACCAAACAACCCCACACCATAATCCCCCTCCACCAAACAACCCCACACCATAATCCCCTCCACCAAACAACCCACACCATAATCCCCCTCCACCAAACAACCCCACACCATAATCCCCTCCACCAAACAACCCCACACCATATCCCCCTCCACCAAACAACCCCACACCATAATCCCCTCCACCAAACAACCCCACACCATAATCCCCCTCCACCAAACAACCCCACACCATAATCCCCTCCACCAAACAACCCCACACCATAATCCCCCTCCACCAAACAACCCACACCATAATCCCCTCCACCAAACAAACCCCACACCATAATCCCCCTCCACCAAACAACCCCACACCATAATCCCCCTCCACCAAACAACCCCACACCATAATCCCCCTCCACCAAACAACCCACACCATAATCCCCCTCCAACAAACAACCCCACACCATAATCCCCCTCCACCAAACAACCCCACACCATAATCCCCCTCCACCAAACAACCCCACACCATAATCCCCCTCCACCAAACAACCCCACACCATAATCCCCCTCCACCAAACAACCCCACACCATAATCCCCCTCCACCAAACAACCCCACACCATAATCCCCCCTCCACCAAACAACCCCACACCATAATCCCCTCTCCACCAAACAACCCCACACCATAATCCCCCTCCACCAAACAACCCCACACCATAATCCCCCCTCACCAACCCACACCCATAATCCCCCTCCACCAAACAACCCCACACCATATCCCCTCCACCAAACAACCCCACACCATAATCCCCCTCCACCAAACAACCCACACACCATAATCCCCTCTCCACCAAACAACCCACACCATAATCCCCCTCCACCAAACAACCCAACAACATAATCCCCCCCAAAACAACCCCACACCAAATCCCCTCTCCACCAAACAACCCCACACCATAATCCCCCTCTCACCAAGCAACCCCACACCATAATCCCCTCCACCAAACAACCCCACACCATAATCCCCCTCCACCAAACAACCCCACACCATAACCCCCCCCCTCCACCAAACAACCCCACACCATAATCCCCTCTCCACCAAACAACCCCACACCATAACCCCCTCCACCAAACAACCCCACACCATAATCCCCTCCACCAAACACCCCACACCATAATCCCCTCCACCAAACAACCCACACCATAATCCCCTCTCCACCAAGCAACCCCACACATAATCCCCCTCCACCAAACAACCCCACACCATAATCCCCTCTCCACCAAACAACCCCACACCATAATCCCCTCTCCACCAAACAACCCCACACCATAATCCCCCTCCACCAAACAACCCCACACCATAATCCCCCTCACCAAACAACCCACACCATAATCCCCCTCCACCAAACAACCCCACACCATAATCCCCTCTCACCACAACACAACCCACCCAAATCCCCTCCACCAAACAACCAACACATAATCCCCCACCAAACAACCCCACACATAATCCCCCTCCACCAAACAACCCACACCATAATCCCCTCCACCAAACAACCCAACACCATAATCCCCCTCCACCAAACAACCCCACACCATAATCCCCCTCCACCAAACAACCCACACCATAATCCCCTCCACCAAACAACCCCACACCATAATCCCCCTCCACCAAACACCCCACACCATAATCCCCCTCCACCAAACAACCCCACACCCGTAATCCCCTCCACCAAACAACCCAACACCATAATCCCCCTCCACCAAACAACCCCACACCATAATCCCCTCCACCAAACAACCCCACACCATAATCCCCCTCCACCAAACAACCCCACACCATAATCCCCCTCCACCAAACAACCCCACACCATAATCCCCCTCCACCAAACAACCCACACCATAATCCCCCTCCACCAAACAACCCCACACCATAATCCCCCTCCACCAAACAACCCCACACCATAATCCCCCTCCACCAAACAACCCCACACCATAATCCCCCTTCACCAAACAACCCCACACCATAATCCCCTCCACCAAACAACCCCACACCATAATCCCCCTCCACCAAACAACCCCACACCATAATCCCCCTCCACCAAACAACCCCACACCATAACCCCCCCCCCCCTCCACCAAACAACCCCACACCATAATCCCCCTCCACCAAACAACCCCACACCATAATCCCCTCCACCAAACAACCCCACACCATAATCCCCCTCCACCAAACAACCCCACACCATAATCCCCCTCCACCAAACAACCCACACCATAATCCCCCTCCACCAAACAACCCCACACCATAATCCCCTCCACCAAACAACCCCACACCATAATCCCCCTCCACCAAACAACCCCACACCGTAATCCCCTCCACCAAACAACCCAACACCATAATCCCCCTCCACCAAACAACCCCACACCATAATCCCCCTCCACCAAACAACCCCACACCATAATCCCCTCCACCAAACAACCCCACACCATAATCCCCCTCCACCAAACAACCCCACACCATAATCCCCCTCCACCAAACAACCCACACCATAATCCCCTCCACCAAACAACCCCACACCATAATCCCCCTCCACCAAACAACCCAACACCATAATCCCCTCCACCAAACAACCCCACACCATAATCCCCCTTCACCAAACAACCCCACACCATAATCCCCTCTCCACCAAACAACCCCACACCATAATCCCCCTCCACCAAACAACCCCACACCATAATCCCCTCCACCAAACAA